TTGTGCATAAGTTTTTAAACAACTCAGTTTCCGATTCTTGAGTTTAAGTTGACCATCACAAATAATTTTTATTTACTGAATATTATTTCGATAATTATATCTTTTCTACGAGTATTGAGTTCATAGTCATTAGTTTATAATGACTATATAATATTATATATATATATATTTATATATACACTATATATATATATTTATATATATATATATATATAATATATATATATATAATAAATATATATATATATATATATATACTATATATATATATATATATATATATATGTATATAAATGTATATACATATAAAAATTTAGGTATATAAAATTTTAAATCCAAAATCTTTTTTATTATATCCTTATACATATTTTTGGTTTCAGAAAATTCTAGTCTCTCTAGTCCTTATAGAAATGTCCCTGTTGGTTACATCCAGAATAATATATGACCATCACCAAGAAGATAATCACGAAGGGCAACAAGTTCAATACACCAATTACTATGGTCAGGAAGAGTCTGCCACAACAGCACATTTCCACCAACCCGTCCAACTTCCCGAAGAACATAGTCACGGTTTGCACAAAGAGGAACACATCGATTATTATGTACGTAGAACTACTAATACTACTGTCATGACAGATAAACATGTATGCAGTTTGTTTAAGAAGTGTACCTATTTGTTTCTGTGATACTTTTACAGTCCATACTGTGTACAAACTAAAGTTACTTTCATCTTCCTTCAGAATCCCTTCGACAAAGCATTTAAAACAAAGCATATTTTAATCTGGAATTTTCTTTAGCAGTAGCATTGTCTCTCTCCAATCTTTTATTTTGCTATAAAGCTTAAGTCTGTGCTTATCAAATGGGCAAAATATGCGATTTTTAATTTTTATAATTTTATTGGACTAACATTCTCTGATCGTTTGAAGCAAAGCTTAAACGAATATTGTGGTAGTACAAGATATTCGTAATACTTATTAACTATATTCTAAATGTTACTTTACAAAGTTGTAACTAATTTATATATTGGGTGATATACCTTAAGATATTTTATATTTTCAAAAATTTGTCAATGGTTATTGACATGGTTATTAATGGATCGTGGCTTTTTGAAGACTGGGCATCGGACAGGGAAGTAAAATGTCGCATTGAGCAAGCTCGACAAGCTTTCGTAAAATTCAAGAAGGTACTGGCTTGTTCAGAGTTCGATCTTCAACTGAGACTAAGGTTTACTAAGTGCTACGTGTGGTCAGTGCTGCTATATGGCGTAGAGGGCTGGACACTCAAAACAAGGGATATAAACAGATTAGAAGCTTTCGAAATGTGGCTCTATCGCCGTATCCTAAAAATACCATGGACAGCGAAAATCACAAATATAGATGTCCTTAAAAGAATAAACCAAGAACGCCAACTTTTCGAAACCATCAAGAAAAGGAAAACGGCGTATCTAGGTCACACCATGCGAAATGAAAAAAACCAGTTCATCCAACTTATAATCGAGGGTAAAATTGAAGGCAAGAGAGGAATGGGACGCAAGAAAATGTCCTGGCTCCGAAACATAAGGCAATGGACAGGGATTAACGACATACAATATCTGATGCATATTGCAAGAAATAGAGAATTAATGGAAAATGTGATCGCTAACATCCATTAGTGGATTTGCATCTGAAGAAGAAGAAGAAGAAGAGTCAATGGTTATGTCCATTCGAGATATTTAATCTTATATAATTTAGCTATCTGCTCACCATCTACTGGCTGGTTTGCATTACGGCTTACTACCAAGATCGATGTTATTTTTCGGTGCTATAGTTTTAAGTCCAATTATTCTTCTTAGGCTTATATCTTGTCGACTACTCACAAAAAGCATTTTTAATTGTTTGTAATTATAACGTAAACACCACATAAACTTATAAACACTATATAATATACATAAAACATGTAACGAAAAGGTGTTACATGAAATAAAACTGCGCTACTCTCTAAAATTAACGAATTACCTTTAATTTACCATAGGTTTAAAGCTTACTTACAACATGAACAATCAAAACTATAGTTTCAATGTGATGCCACATGCTCAGCATTTTCTATATCCATCATGTTACAAACAACACCGTGATCCAATTTATGAATGAAGATCTGGAAATTATGCGTATCGTGATAATAAGAAAGATGGCATAATTGGGGCATGTGGTGCGCATTGAGAAGTATCAACTAATTTTACAAGGCAAAAGATCTCAAGGGCGCAGAAGGACATCGTGCTTGAAGAACATCAGACAGTGGACAGGAATGACTATTATACAGTAAAAACCTTCGTTAACCGAAATAATTGGGAGGAGGCCGTTTCGGATAACAAGAATTTCGGTTAAAAATAACATTGTTTTTTATAGTATTCCTGGTTAAAGTATTGGTATTAAAAAATACGATGAGGTGATTTCGTAATGTTTTCTAATAAATAAATACAGAATAAAGTAATAAAATTAAGAAAAATGAAGTTTAACATGCTTTTTTAAATAAATCTTCTATTTTCTTTTGCTTTATCGTTTGACAACGATGTTTTGCAGCTATATATCTCCATCGTTCATTTGCAGAACGTCGTGAGTTTGCCTCATTTCATTGTTCGACGAAACGTAAAGGAATCTGAAAAAGACAAAACTTTATGCAATGACAACAAAAATTAAAAAGCTAGTCGTGTCCCTAACTAATTAGGCCTACTGTATAAAATTATTATCCTTAAGGCATTCAAAATCTCGTCGGCGGGCTCATGCTGCCTGTTGTCTGTTGGTTTGTCATCTTCGCCGTCTGATACACTCACGTTTTCTGGACGAATAACCATATCAATGATGTCCTGGTCCTGGATGAATTCACTTTCTGAGTCATCGGCAGCTAACCACTCACGTATCTCTTCTTGTTTAATTTTGTCACATCCCGGAAAAAACTTTATTAAAGGTTTCATTTCTTCTGTCGTTTCTATACCATTCTCTTCTTTAGGATCGTCAATCAAAATCCAGTCAAAAAGTTATTTCTAGCATTTTTCCAAAGTTGAAGAGCTGATCTTGGCCCAGCACTCAGCACACCGACAACATGTTTCATTGTTGAAGATTTGAGAATATCGGGAACACTTTTAAGTTAATTTATATCCTGTAATAACATATGTCTTAAGAATGCCCCTTTATAATGTCTCTTAATATCTCTATTACTCCCTGGTCTAACAGCTGAATTAAGCTCGTGACATTCGGTAGCAAAAATCTGACAATTATCACTATTGTGTAGATTTTGAGGGTGAGTTGGCGCATTGTCAACAAGCAACAATGCTTTGATTCTTCTTCTTCATATGCCTTGTCCGTTCCGAACGTTGGCAATCAACATGGCTATTCTGACTTTGTTTACGGCAGATCTGAATAGTTCAGCAGACGACAATCCGAACCATTGCCGCAAGTTTTGGAGCCACGAGTGTTTTCTTCTCCTTGGACCCCTTCTGCTGTCTATTTTCCCTTGAACGATCAACTGTAGTACTCTATATTTATTATGTCTTATAACGTGACCCAAGTATTCCAACTTTATTTTCTTTATACTTATTGCTACCTCTCTCTCTTTACCTATCCGGCGTAGTACCTCTTCGTTGGTCAAACTTGGTACCTCTTCATCAAAATGCTTTGATGAGAAGGTTTTTTTTATTTTAAAAATGATTTTAGACTTGGGATGAATTCATTTTCAAACCATTCTAAAAATGAAGTGGTCAATGAGTTTTTTTGGCTTCTATAAAAAACTGGAAGTGCAAATTTCTCAAATATCTTTTAGAGCTCTTGGTTTTTTTGACTTCTCAACACACGTCGGCATCAATTGGTGAGTGAAATTAATGGAATTGTTTACGTTTTGCGATAAAAATTTACTTTTTATTGACGAAATTATTGAAACTGTCAGCCGTTTCGGTTTTAAACGATGTTTCGGTTAAAAAGGTTTCGTTTAAGAGAGGTTTTACTGTACATCTATTTAGAATAGCTGTAAACAAAGTTGAATGGACCAACGTGATTGCCAACATCCACAGAAGATGGGCACTAAAAAAAGAAGAAGAAGGGATGTTATGCTGGTCTGCTGTATTGCTTTTTCAAGATGATAAGGTTAATTTTAGTTCATAGAGGGTAAAAGTTAGACCGAATTCTGCAATGTCAAGAGATATAAAAATTTAATAATTTTTGTATTTAATAGTTGATAGAAACTATTAAAATATTTCAGTAATTTTGTAGGTAATAATATAAGGAAGTATTATTCAATCTAAATTTCTTAGCGAAATACAAACTGAGTTACGTCACCTGATAATTAAAGAGGCCATATATCAAGAAAGTATTTGATATTGACATTTATATCTATTACAAGTGTAAATAATTTCACACAATATCTTGCACTTGTATCATTTTGTGTGAGAAGTAAAAGCCGGTAATTAGTTTTTGCAATATCCCAATTGACAGATCGAACATGTGCTAAATGTATCTCCGTTTTCTCTGCCCGGACAACACATGGTCACAGTCCGTTTATTAAATTCCATTATTATCGCAATATATACTTAAGTCATTTACTTTCTTCGATGAGCACAATTTTGTAATAACTTATTGTTTAATTTCTCCTTTTCTAATTGGATTAGTCGCCCATTAATTTATTTGGCAACTTTCGATAATTACCAAATTAAAATGCGTACATCCGTTTGTTCATAGCATCATGCACCAGTTGATATAAAACGTGTTAAAGTTTTATTTGTTTTTTAAATACTTAAATACATTGTTATCCTTAATTTATTCCAAGCGGATTTATAATTATTGCATTTAATGCTTTATTTTTACTTTACATAAGATTTCGGTTAATGAATTCGGATATAAATTTAACCCATTATGACCCGATTTTTTTTTTTGTAATTTGTTGACGAAACTAATATATTTTTATTAGAAATGTATAACAGTAGACAAATTAACAATTTTTTAATCCAAAAACTTATGAACTAAACAAAAAATATGTGTTACAGAAATGTAAGGCTAGGTCATTACGGTACCGTAACTAAAATAAAATAAATTCTTAAAAAACACAATGAAATTTATATTATAACTAGAATGTCCTTATATGAAAAGTATAATTGCAGGTCAATACACATGCCGACATCACATTTGCTACATATTGTTCGAGTACTACTGCTAGAACAACACCCCTCTCCTGCACAGCGACGTCTTTTGTTGTTAGGTATAAATATTAAAAGGTGATTGTTTCCATCGTACCTTAGATTGTCTGAGATTCTATTAAGCGAGACACTAAATAACGAGGAGCTGAGCCTTTCTCCATGCTTTGAAGAATTTGTATATTTTTTAAGATATGACTGAGCAATACATCTTTTGAAATCTAATTGGGAAATCTTGGTAGTGGTGCTTGTAGAGTATCCAGCTGTTACTAATACTTGTATCAATAAGCCATGTGAAGATACACCACCACCACTTCTTTGAACGGATTCCAATTCTATATGTAGATATGGTTTGGTCCATTAAATCCGTTCCTCCCATATTGTTATATTTGGTAATAATTTGCGGTCTTGGAATTTGCACACATTTTTCTTTCTTTTTGCTATATCTACGCACAGTTCCCACTAGCGCAGCACAATAAGCTGTACATACAGCAGCCACAACGTTATTGTCTACTCACTTTATGAAAAAAATACCATGATCGCTGTCGATACATAAGCAAAACTACCACGGTCCAAATTTTTTAATTCTTTATTTCTTGGTGGTAGTATACAAGTTTTAGGAATTCTGCCATTCCTTGAGGTTCCCATAATATTATATTCTTTTTATTTCAAGTAGTTAAATACGTTTATATTAGAGAAAAGATTATCCACATATAAATGATAAGGATATTCTTTATGTGGTATCTGCTATGTGACATAATATAAAATATGTAACATTTTTATCAGCGCAGTGGTAGGTTTTCCAAAGGTTTCCTCAACTGTGGTGTGTATATCTTTTTATTTACCTTGGTAAAATTCAAAATCTAGAAGATATCCATTGTAGCAATTGAGCGCTCACATCTTGAAACCAAATCTAGTTGGCTTTGCTTTTATAAATTGCTTGCACCCGTGCTTGCCAAAGTATCAAATTATTGACTCATCATAAGACAGGTGCTCAACGGGAACAAAATGTTTATAAAAATTATTTTTTATCATATTTGCAAGCGGTCGGAGTTAAAAGAGTTTGTCATAAGCATCTACTTTGGAGTTATCTGTGCAGTGTATAAATCGCATTATCTGAGTCTATCGCATAATCTTTCCGGTCTCGTGGCATTATAAACTGCTTCATTTCTCATGTTACGCTGACTGTCTCAAAAATGTCGCTTGCTAGGTTTGTAGTCGTATCCACTCACGATTAGAATGGTAATGAAACATCGAATTTATTCCGCCTTAATTTGAGGATTTTTAAAATTTGATAGTTTTTAAAAATGGCATACCTTCTTGTTTCTGTTACTAACATTTGGATAATATTATCATCTAACATTTTTTCGAACAGAGCAACAGTATCTTCGATATATTTTGTACTACTTTGCACAGGAAAAGGTCATGCACGTGACGAAATTAAATCACAATTCTCGTTCCAGTTTATTTTAGTGTTAAGCTTAATTTTTTTGGGATATCGCCCATTTTTTCATGCTTTTCAAAATTCTTATGTTCTCTAGTTTCTCCATCTTTATTTTGTTCGGATGTATCATCTGAAAGAGCTTCGTCATAAGCACACTTTTTTAAAGCTAATTTTCATTTTGGATAGATGTTGACGGCCAGTTAGATTGTCTAAAGTGCCTCCCTCATCCTGATTTCCAGGAATCTCATCCGTTAATTAACTGGCATCAAGAGGATCAATGAAGATTTCATCTGAATCATCTGTATATGCTAATTCTATTGCATCTTGTAGAGTAAAACCTCGTCTAGAAAGAAATAAAGAGTAATAATACTTATTTTAAGGTTAAAACGAACACGTACTCCACAGAGCCTAGCGTTAGATATATGCAAAGTCTGTTTTAGACTATAACATAAAATGATATAAGAAAATGGTATACTCAGTTTTGACATAATATAAAACAGAAAACAAAATCTGTTAACAAAAAATGTTATAGAAATTAGAACATATCCTATTTTGATACCAATTATTAGTATACACGCATGCGCAGTTACAATTTTGTATCCTGTTTGGTAATATCTTCTCGAATCAGTTCAATAAGTTCATTAAATTGTGGCTTACACATTCTTAAAAATTGTCTTTATTTTTCAGAATCATTGTCTTTTAATTCAGTTTACAACATACTTAAAACACCATGACCTTCCTGTCTTTTTTGAAGCCAAGCTCTAGACCACATATTTCGTTGGCCTTTTTTCTTGCTTGTCTGAATTAAAAGAAATGTTGTAATGAAAGCAGCAGATAATAGGAGAATTTTCTTATCCATCATAAACATATATGTCTTTGTTAAAGCAAAAATAAAACGAGGGTAAAATTACTAGGTATTTACGTAGGTAAAAAACCAGTCTAAATGTTGGAGAAAATGACGTTACATTACAATAACAAAAAGAAGAATAAGAATATTAAGGTTAACAGTACATGTACACTATCACATGTACACAGTACATGTACATTAAAATTGTACACAATCATTTAATGTAAGTTCTTGTTATACCATTTTCTTATATCATTTTATGTTATAGTCTAAAACAGACTTAACTCTACAATTCAAAGCTATTTTGATCAAACATACACAAAGTATGTTATAAATTTTTACATACAACAACAAAAAAGCAATATTTATCAGTATTCTTGTAAAAATATTATGCATTTTACTCTAAAAATAAGTTATTTGTAAAGCTTATTCGAAACGAATGTTATGCTACACGATAGTTGCTAAATCTATATCTGCTATATCTGATTCAGACTGCAGTTACTCACTAACTACAACAACTATCATTATCAGCATTGCTTTGCACAGAATGCTCTTTATGTTTGTTTTGACTGCCTTACACCACTATCTATGTGATTAACAGTTTTCTGATGTACAGTTTTCTAAGTACCTTTGCAAGCGTTACATAAAAGCATTATAAAAGTAACACTTATTCTAAATGGGTTAAAATTTTTTCTCGAAATCTCGAAAGTAGAAATTTGTAAATATTTATTTTTACGTGTCCCAGTATCATATCTGGGACACGTAAGAGAAGGAAGGAGTATAGGAAGAAGGAGAGTGGTTGAAGAATTTAAGGGATTGGTTTAAATGCAGTTCTATGAATTCTTCAGAGCACAAGTAGATAGAGTAAAGATAGTGATGATGATATCCAATCTGCGATTGGGAGACGACACTTAAAGAAGAAGAAATATAGTCAATAACTCTTTTTTTTATTTTATTTTTTTTTATTTTACCAATAAAACAAAACCTCAATAAAAGGGCTTATTTCCTTTAAAGGAGCGAAACTAATAATACCTTGATTAATTGCACTACCTAGAATACCTCCATAATAGTTAGTAAGTAACCAAGTAATAATTAGCGAGCACGGTATAAACTCCAATTTTGTTCTCGTTAAAAAGTATTCCATTTATAAAGCAAAATAAATTATATTTGAATAAAATCGTAAAATAGTTTCGAAACACAATTCAGATTTCTGCTTATATCTGAGCCTTCTAAAAATTGCAAGGCAAACAGACGTTGATAAAAGATGTAAAAAGAGACATGGGGAATCTAAAATTTGCATTCCACGACATGTCTTTTACAACTAAGCAGAAATCCTTAGCGAATTGTGCTTCTAGTACTCACACAGAGTAAATCCGAATAAAACGAAAAAAGGCAGCAAATATTGGATTTCACGCAAACAAATCCTATGTATCTATTGATACGTATTTCGACCTAATAGGTCTCGTCAGAACAACTATTCATAGGAGTTCTCAACGTGAAAAATCAATATTTTCTGCCTTTTAAGAAGCAATAATAACATGGCTTCAATACGGACGCGCTAGCGACATCTACTTACAAAAATCGTAAAATAGTTTCGAAACACAATTTAGATTTCTGCTTATATCTAAGCCTTCTAAAAATTGCAAGGCAAACAGACGTTGATAAAAGATGTAAAAAGAGACATGGGGAATCTAAAATTTGCATTCCACGACATGTCTTTTACAACTAAGCAGAAATCCTTAGCGAATTGTGCTTCTAGTACTCACACAGAGTAAATCCGAATAAAACGAAAAAAGGCAGCAAATATTGGATTTCACGCAAACAAATCCTATGTATTTATTGATACGTATTTCGACCTAATAGGTCTCGTTAGAACAACTATTCATAGGAGTTCTCAACGTGAAAAATCAATATTTTCGGCCTTTTAAGAAGCAACAATAACATGGCTTCAATACGGACGCGCTAGCGACATCTAGTTACAAAAATCGTAAAATAGTTTCGAAACACAATTAAGATTTCTGCTTATATCTGAGCCTTCTAAAAATTGCAAGGCAAACAGACGTTGATAAAAGATGTTAAAAGAGGCATGGGGAATCTAAAATTTGCCTTACAATTTTTAGAAGGCTCAGATATAAGCAGAAATCTGAATTGTGTTTCGAAACTATTTTACGATTTTTGTAATTAGATGTCGCTAGCGCGTCCGTATTGAAGCCATGTTATTGTTGCTTCTTCAAAGGCAGAAAATATTGATTTTTCACGTTGAGAACTCCTATGAATAGCTGTTCTGACGAGACCTATTAGGTCGAAATACGTATCAACATATACATAGGATTTGTTTGCGTGAAATCAAATATTTGCTGCCTTTTTTCATTATATTTGAAACCTTTAGATATACTCTCTTCTGTACAAATATATTTAAATATTTCACAAATATTTTCTTTTGTTGACTGCAGGAAATATATTTACATTTTATTCTATATTTTTAGGCACCACCCAAGTATTCCTTCAAGTATGGAGTCAACGACTACCACACTGGTGATATCAAGAGCCAACACGAATCCAGAGACGGAGATACCGTCAAAGGCCAATACACACTCGTAGAACCCGATGGATCTATCAGAACTGTGGACTATACGGCTGACAAACACAGCGGATTCAACGCAGTAGTCCGGAAATCAGGTCCCACAAAACACATAGAAGGACGGCATCTGGAACACCAAGCCGTTGAAGAGCAACATGTACCTCAGCATCATTTGGAAGAAGATCATGGTGTATCGCAGTATCACCAACTGGAACAGCAACAAGCGTTGGAAGAAGATGTCGACGAAGGACATCTGGAAGGTGAAGATGGTAGTCAATACGAAGAAGAAGAACATCATTAGGTGTTATAATATGTTTTAGGACGTAATGGTCTGTAAATAAGCGAAGTCAAAGATTAAAGTAGTATCTTTTAAAATTATTGGAGAAACTGATAGTTGCCGTTTCTGAGAGAAATGATCATTAATATCTAATGCTACATTGTTTTATAGCACTTTTAACATTTGGGAAAAGCTTTTAAATCCATTTTATACATCTTAAATATATTTACTTTTGACTATTAGTATTTAAAATTTTGTAATATCCACTCAATTTTGACCGAAAACATATGATTTCTTCCATAATTTTAATGATAGAGTACTGAATGTTGTAATATATCCTGTATTTAAGTTATTTATAATAAACTTATATTTTACGCTCCGAAAATCGTTCGAAGATGAAATATAAGTTAAACTCGTAACAGTATTTTTGTATTTTTTATTGTAGTTTATTATTTATATAACAAAGGAGTATTTCATTATTTTTTTTATATAGCTATTGGCACATTTTGTTATTAAAAAATGGTATAAAATATCTGCGTTTTATTAATATACATTTAAAAGTCTTTCATTTTCATATAAGAATAGGTATATAGGTATAGTTTTCATATAATAAAGCCTCAGTCGTGTATTTTTACTTTTTCTTGTTTGTTCATTTGTTACAATTTCATATTATTTCGATACAGCCTTCTCGATTATATAATAAAAAAATTACATAGTTGGAACATCAAAGGTCACTGTCTCTTCTTTATTAAAAACTTCATTCAAAATAGAGCTTTCAAACTTAGAACAAACAACACATCAGATGGACGGCATTATACATCACTAGACCAAGTGCCAAAAATTGATTTTGAGATATTTGACTTCAAAGTTTTCACTCCATTAAAATTCACTATATGTTACAATAGTCGTATTTTTTTTGTTTTCGAAGGCAGTTTTTTATGTTTTCTCTATGTGCGAAATAGTAACTTAATAAAGGTTAAAGAAAAACGAAAAAAAAAATAAAAAGGCTTTTGGTCGACTTACGATTTTCGCCACATTGTGTAATTGTGTTATACATCAATAGACCAAGCGACATGGATGTCGTTTGGTCCATAATACTAATACTAACAAGATAGGATCTTCCCGTAGCACAAAATCGGTCGTGTTCGCGCATGCCGTCATTGGAGAGTAGAATTTGAATTCTTGTTAAAGTTAAATGGGATTTTTATGCATTCTGTGATGAAATTATTCAATAAGCAAAATAATATTAAATGACTTTTTTGTATTATTTGTAAACAAAAGATAATAATAATATAATATTTAAAAAAGTATTTGAAGAAACTAGACGAAAATAAGTTAAGAAGTTTAATAATTACAATAATCGTACAGATAAGGATATCCCCAAACTATTTATTAAAAATTAAAAGTGAAACTGGAACAAAACATGAAGTGGAGATATCCAGGAGTGGCTAGTATACCTATTTAATACAAAGCACGTGGTGGTCGTGTGTATTAAGATATAAAAAAATGCTTATTAAAAGCTTACAATTTTTATTTTAAAGAAGATCTTTTCGGAATTGAATCATTCCATCACCAGTTTAATAAAAAGTTGTCAAAAAAACATTGTATGGCCACATCAAAACATAGGAAGGAACTCCGTACTAAAAAACTATCCTCATGGTGTTTATGAAGGTAAATGTAATATACTGGTAATTTGTAGATTACTAAAAACTGAAAAGGGGGGCATCTTACATGACCCCCTGTAGTTGGTCAGGTTTTATTGACTTACATTACCTCTGATCTGTGCTGGAGTCTAGGGCTAACTGTTAGCCCTAGACAAAGTTTTTTTTTACAACTTTTTATTAAACTGATGATAGAATGATTCAATTCCGAAAAGATCTTCTTTAAAATAAAAATTTTAAGCTTTTAATAAGCATTTTTTTATACCTTAATACACACGGCCACCACGCGCTTTGTATTTATTAAAAAATAGTTATTGATACATACAAAAAACTGACATTACGAACGTGCAACTCTCCAATTACGTCATGAGTTATGCGCAATATCTTATCTTCTTAGTCATAGTACCATGGTTTGATCTAGTGATGGGTAACTAAAATATAACTTTTAGTTATTGATTAGTAGGCAACAAGCTATTAATACTTTTTGAGTATGACAATAAAAGTCATTGTTTTAAATATTTTATATTACTTTAGAAATTAATCAAAAATATAAAAAAAAACTTGAACTCAGTGTTAATAGGAGGTACAATTTTTTGAATAATATGAAACTAGTAAATAAACATTACTCATGTCGTATGCCAAAGTCTAAGTCTCCTTCAAATCCGTCAATGTCATCTTCCACTCTATTGTTACTTGACAGAGAGCGATACAGAGGTTTTGCATCATTTGGTATTAGGTATATTAAAGATCATAAGTCGTTAAGCTTAGGCGCAGAAAGTAGCTTGCCTGTGGGCCAAAGTGGAATCAAGTCATTACTTAGGGATTGCATTGCACCGGGCCGTCCTTTTTGAAGTTTCTTGTGAAGATCTACTTCAACTTCACTAGTGTTAAGATCTGTTTTCATAAAAATACTCAGTGGTTTATCCTTTCTTATTTAAATTTCTCTTGTTTTAAGCCAGCTTACCTTACTGTTTTCTATATCTGATTTATGATTTGTAATCATAGTTTTCAACTTCTTTGTCCCAACGAATTCTTCTTTTTTCATTCTGTGAACTTTTAGTGGGTTATTATTACGGAATTTCTTCATCGCGTTCATCACAATCATCGACGGAATATAAACGTTGTTGAAATTTTAGGGCATTTTAAATATCTCCTAAATCACTATCATTAAAAACTATGACCTGGAAAAAGATAGCGTTAAGTAATTTTTTCTATGGTAGAATGAGCTTTCAACATTGTTGTCAGAATCAAAACTATTTTGATGTTGAGGTTTTTACCACTACATGAGTCTGACCACAAAATTACATAATTTGCAGAAGTAACATTTTCTTTAATGCGTTTCTTAAGACAACTTGCCTACGTCCTGGGCTCTCCGACCAGCTTCACCTTTTATCCACACACAACTATGATCTTTGTTATGGATACCAAAGCCATTATTACCTTGCCGCTATGGATACCAAAGTTGCAAATACATCATTGACTCTTATAATGTACCATATTTGTTAAAATTCTCGGAAGGGGAAGAGTTTTTTCTAAATCAAAGCAAAAGGTTTCCACATCGTTGCTCATCTTCATGTCTAGCTTTCTTTCAGATTGTGCATTTTCAGCTTCTTTTAAGTGTACATTTTTTTTCTTCCTTTAACGTGCTTAATTTTTCGTTATCTGTGCAATTTTTAATTTCTAATTCGAAATAATCACATCTATTCGAAACAATTATTTTTTGTAAAAAAGACACAATTAACAGGATCATTGTCTGCTTATTCAATATACAATTCATACATTTTAAAATCATTAAAACGTTCGCAAGAGGCGCTTTATTCACTTGATCTTCCACTTCAGTTTCGAGATCTCCGTAATGTGGCATAGATGCATGATTCCATTTTCTGACCTACATCTATATTCAGTTCAAGTGGTAGTAATAATTGATTTGTTGAATAGTTCTCTCATTGAGTTAAGTTGTTATCAGTTATTGCAATATTATTTGCTAATTCAAATTCAAAAACTGATAGAATTACAAATAAAGAAGTACTGAAAGAGGGTTAATAAAGAAACAGAACTAATCACCACTATACAAATCAGAAAACTGAAATACCTAAGTCAAAATATGAAATTTTGAGACTTAAAATAGACTGGGAAAGATTTAAGGAAGAAGATCTGTTGGCCGAAGGCAGAACTCATGGTTAAAGAATCTACGTGACTGGTATCAATGCAGCTCGATTGACTTGTTAAGAGCAGCAAGTTCTAAAATAAAAATAGCCATTATGATTGCCAACCTCCGTAGGGAGACGGCACTCTAGGAAGAAGAAGTTTTTATAAAGTAGTGTAACATTATTTTATCATTAAAATATTCTTTTATCCTTAAAAAATTCTACTAATTTTCTACTTTTTTATAAATTTTATGATCTTTTGTGCAAAAATATCCTGGAATCGTTTAAAATAAATACATTTTTTAAAACATAAATTCACTTAATACGCACATCGAAGCTATTTCAAGGATTATTGAAATAACAACTTATAATTACTTAATGGAAACAAAACTGCAATTCACTTATTAATCATATTTTCATATTCCTTAGATATTCAAAACAGTTACTTTGATATCTTCATATCAAGGATTTCTTTAAATCCGGAATTGCATCAACAATAAACAATAAAAATACAAAATATATTACAATGAAAATTTAATAAAAAGACAAAACGCACTATTTATTTAGTTTTTACATCAGAGAAGAATCTATTTAAAAAGTATAATTTAAATATCCTAAAATATGAAGAAGTACAATTTTTGCACAAACAGACTACGAAAAATAATACATTAAAAAAATATACTTGAAAGTAAAAGATTTAAGATTTATAGTATCATAAAAGGAAACATCGGAGCAAATAAACAAAAAAAGCAGGCGGTACTATAAACTAGTGCGAAGCTTAATTCTGTACCCTAGGATCAAAAAGGGTCAACTCCATTTTTAAAACAATGGAGATTAATCACGTATATGTGACAAACACAATAGACTGGCATTTCGTGATACATTATTATTTTCCTACTAATATATATATATATATATATATATATTATATATATAATATATATATATATATATATATATATATATATATATTGTGTTATTTATTAAAGAACAACAACGATTTTGTCTTTTGAATACTTTAATTCACAGAAAATGTTACTAATAAATTGGATTTGATCAGTTTTGAAAATTTGGTACTTATGTCAGAGGACTTGACCCCTTTTGAAAGATTTGCCTAAATTTGAAACTAATAAAATGGCACTATAAACATGTACGGATTTTGCCATTTCTTATACCATGGTACCATGCCATGATGCTTTCAGATTTATTAATAGAA